AACATTGCTGTTCCATGTTCTCTACTTTCATTTTCCTCTAGAAATGAAAAGCAATTTTTAAGGCTGAATCTGTTGCTATTTTAAAGGTGATTGTGGGAATCAGAGCTAAAGGAGTTAGCATCTTTATTTTTGTATCAAAGATAAAGGTTATTTTGAAATTATTAGGATTTTTACACAACTCTGAAATCTGTTGCTTTTGTAAACAAATTGTTTGAGCTTAAGGGATCCCCCCGACTACCACCACCAATTCACTTACAAAGTCAGTTGTGAGTCTACCAACAACAACTAAGAACAAAACACTTGACTAAACTCTGAGCATGGCCTATAAATTTTTTTAAGAATGCATTTAGGGATTCTTTTCCTTTCGCCATTGTCATTAATGTTAAAATAAAAGTCACTGTCTTCTTGGAATAAACACCTTCACTTTAGAAACAAGAACTAGCACATTTAGACAAACAGGAGAGCAAGGGTTTGAAGCCAGCTGTCGAAGAGCATTCCTGCTGTCTTAAGAAGCTTTTTCCCCATAGTGCCTAGAGTTTCCAAAGAAACTTAACTTCCTAACTGTGTTAACTTAATTTTATTAGAACACTACAATTGAGTGAGAACGTGCAGATGTCAATGGAAGAGAATGTTGTGCTAAGATAATGGCCTCCTGCTACTGCTTAAGTGTTGAAATGAGGTTCAGATGATTTTCAAGGCCAACTTCATGGAGTCACTCTGTGTAGTGACTTGTATTTCACCAATTATTGCTGGTGACTTGCTTACCCTTTTACAGTGTTTGCACAGCAGAGTGATGGTTATTACTCTTTCTCTCAAGTGCTTTAAAAGAAGAATCCTCCTTTGTGTTTCACCCAATCCGAAGCTAGTTTAACTAGATGTTGTAACCTTTTTTTCCCTTTGCTTTGAAAAAAGTTACAATTAAGTCTGATTCTGTCTTGGAGGAAGTAAGCTCAATATAAATTCATGTCCAAATTACTAGAGTTAACTCTTTAAGTCACCCAGATAAGAGATTGCTCAGGCCCCGGGCTAAGAGGTGGGCCTACAGAGGAATAGCTCCAGGGCATTTCCCAGACTTAGAAACAGAGGTGAGCAAGGGTCTTGGTGTCTCCTGTGAGAGATGGATCTGATGAGCCTCTGCCCTATGCTGGTCTCTTCTTCTTTATACAATTCTCTGTGATCAACAGACTCCTGCATGTGGCAGAGGGATAAGACTGCACAGTTGCTCGTAGGTGAGTTAAAAGTCTTAATCTATGCATTCAGAGAAATATTTTTATATGCTTTGTGTAATTTATAACAAGGATTTTTTTTTAGCTTTGTTAACTGTGAATTCACCCCTCCTCCTCCACTGCATATTTAAAGCATGTGTTCACACTGTGTGTAAACATTCACTAAAGAATTTTTTCTTTGTGCGTTGCTGACTGTTCAAACATTAACAAGTATTATTAAAATTAAATATTAACAAGCCAATACTTCTTAATTTTGGCTTCGTAAATAGCACTATACATCGAATCACAGGGTGTTGAAACCGTTGGACAATCTCAGGGACCAGATGCTACAGAGAAAGAATAGAAGGGCGGCCGCTCTCCACCTGCGCCTCCTCCATCCCGCTGCTGCTGCTGCTGCTGCGCTCATGCCCTGTCAGTGGCACCAGGAGACAGATATTTTGTGTGGTGTCTTTCCTCCCAGTTCACAGCAGTCGGCTTCATTTCTCTGGAGTAGTTGAGCTAGCTCGATGGAGGTCATCCCCTATTAACCACATTTTTTTATTATCCTGTTTATACAACTGAGCCTGTCCTGTCAGCACCTGTCAGGGCCTCGATGAGCTCAGAAGCAAACTCCCGCGACAAGAGAGGAAATACAGCCTTATACCTTCAGATCTTTAACTGAGAATGATGCTGAATGAATCTGCTTTTCTGTTGGTTCAGGCCAGCTTGCGCCTCACAAAGCAGACGTCATGCCAAATTGGCCTAATAAATCAGGGCGCATAGCAGAGACCTTTTCTTAGCACCAAAGAGAGGCAGAATAATTTGGGTATTCGTGCTTTCTTACTTGCTTTATCACAAGGATAGAAAGAAAGTCATCTTCTATATACACATAAACATCCTGGGCAGAAATAGCCTGCGCAAAAAAAAAAAAAAAAAAAAATGTGATTAACCTTTAACAAATGGCCCTGCAGCACAAACTGACCCAGGGCATATAGAAAAACCTGATCACGGGAGCCATCTCCATATCTATTGCAAACCATTTAGGGTGGGAAAAAAATAGCAGTCACCTACAACCACTCACATAGCCAGGAGTAAAGGTATAGGAAGGAGGAGTGAGACCAAGGAGACCAGAACACTTAGTAAAGTAACAAAGAGAAAACATCCATTCCAAACACAAGGCCTGTGTCAGGTAGACCCAGACCTGCAGAAAACCACTCTTGGTTGGGCTGCTCAAGAAAGCAAACCATTCACCCCTTCATACCCTGTTGGCCAGCATGGGACTGTAACGTAGGAATGGGTAGCTTCTGGGCTTCTGTGCTCACACATTCAGCTTCAGTGAGAGACTGAGGAAAATGAATGAGTTGGAGGCCTCACTGGCTATGGGAACTGTCTGGAACAGACTTTTAAAGGAGCTGAAAAATAAAAGTACCACACACTTCTCAATCCCTAGAGAAATAGGCTTAAAGGGATGAGGGATGACATTGAACTGGAGGTGTTCACTGCTGCTTTCCCCAGAGGCCTCAGGTCAGATTTCAGGGCCTTTGTTTCTTACCTTTTCACAGTATCTGACATCAGGGCAGTAATTACTGGAAATGACCCGCTGAATTTTGGCTGTGAAGACAGTATTTTCAGCCAAAAGCTCTTAGGTCTGAAGTTCAGATAACCGCAGCCATGCTGATGTAGATGAAGTACTCTTCCACCTCTTCCCCCTTCCCATCCTCCTACATCCTAATCTCCCAGGTCCTAATCTCCCAGCCTTGTGAGCAGGCAGAAAAAGTCCACAGGAAAGTGTACATACTGTTGATCACATAGTTTTATTTCTCTTTTTTTTTTTTTTT